CATTATACCTACTAGCGTATTCAAATGTGTTCACGACACGCGCAACTTACATGTAGGGGACCTGAGCTTTGTGTTAAAGGTTAGCAGACGTACGTTCACGTCTACGTGGGGCCAACAGCCATTTTCGTTATTCGGCTCCTGGTCTAACGATGAGGTGGCTCATGTGCATCATCATCATCATCAACAGCAGTACATCAGCCATTTGAACTGATGTTCGCTGCCATACAACCATGAGGACCTAGGAAATAAAGAATAAGAAGAGGGAGAGAAGGGGGACTTACCTGAAAACCTTAATGCCCTAAGCAAACATTCAGGGTCAAGGCGCCTACACCTTGTGTAGACAACATTTCGTCACAAACAGCTGGCTATCGTGCAAAGATAAGGCGGCATCGGCGAGACAGCTTCCTTGCGGCTTTCACTGCCACGCGTCATAATCAGCCATTACGCCGCAGATAACTCAGCACCAAACACACTTTAAACAGATAATCCGATTAGGAGACGGCAGCAGACGCGCCACTGGTGTCGGTTGCGAGCCATGTCCTGTAAAGTCTCGAGCCAAGCACAAGGTGAGTCACGTGGACTCCAACCCGAAGGCGAGACGGACCAACGGCACCCAGTTTGGTCATCAGTGACTTCATTTCCCGCTGCCAAGTCAACTTCTATCCACCTCGAGCCTTCCGCCATCCTACACCTGGTAGACAGAAGAAGGCCATCCTAGGTAAGCGGTGATCAGGCGTACGTAGCACCTGCCCAAGCCAACACAACTTATTCGGTGCTATCTGTGGTTCTAGGGAGCTAGCATGATTATCACCGCCTAGTACTCGCCTACACACATCATCGTTGCGGACACGCTGGTGCCATCCGACACCAGCAATGCTTCGCAAACAACGATGATCAAAGACTTGAAGGCGTCTCAGATCTTCAGACCGAAGGGGCCAAGTCTCACTACCATACAGCAGGACGGCCCTCATTGTGGCCTTGTATACACGGCCTTTCAGATGGAGGAAAACTCCCTTCTGTCGCCAAAGATGACGCAGCTGCAAGAAGGCAGCTCCGGCGTTTGCAATGCGTCAGCTCACGTCAGTTTCTATGCACCCGTCATTGCTGATGCAGCTGCCAAGATAAGTGAATTGATCAACCACCTCGAGTTCCTCGTTAGCAAGCGTCAAGGGGTCATCGAGGGGCTGATGGTCCTGCAGCAACACCATGCACTCTGAAGGTGCGAAGTGCATACCAAATAATGGGACCACTCTGGAGAGGCTATTCAGGGTTGACAGTGCCGCCTCAACATTGTCGAAAAGCAAGACGATATCGTCCGCATAATCTAGATCAACTAACCTTTCACCAGGCAGCACTTCAACGCCTACATCGTGAGATTCCGCAAGTGAACACTCCATGATAAAATCCACGAGGAAATTGAACAAAAATGGGGAAAGCAGACAACCCTGACGAACGCCCCTTGTAGTCGAAAAGCTATCCGATAGGACACCGTAGACCCTGACGCGGCCTGTAGTGTTCGAGTATGGAGCACGAAGGATGTGCACAGATTTCGTGGGAACACCTTTTCGCGCAAGTAATTTGAACAGAATCGATCGATCGACTGAATCGAACGCACACTTGAAATCGAGGAACACAGCTATTGTCGGTCTGCGGTATGCATGGCGCTGCTCTAGCACCTGTCGCAAAGTGAATATGTGGTCTATACAGCCACGTCCTGGGCGGAACCCGGCCTGCACTTCCCTAATCCGAGATTCCCGTTCTGCAGTGAGGCGATGAACGACAATCGAAGCCAGTAATTTTGTCACAACTGGCGTTAGGCTAATACCCCTGTGGTTCGCACAGTCTGTGCGACTGCCCTTCTTGTATATTGCCACTATAATCAATTCGCTCCAATTCGCCGGCACACTCTCTTCGTTCCAGATACGTTCGAATAGGGAGGTCAGTGCCCTGCAGAGGACCTCACCTCCATCCTTAAATAGTGCAGGTGGGAGGGAATCCGGGCCAGCGGCACGAAAGCAGTTAAGAGCTGTGATCGCATTTCGGACCTCGGCCTCCGACGGAGGACCTATACTAACCGTCCATGGTTCTTCCTGCATCACCTGAGTAGGAAGAGCTTCGGGGGCAGGGGGCCAGCTGAACTGAGCTTGAAAGTGTTCCGCCCAACGAGCCATACGGCGCTCCTTATTGTGTATCAGTGCACCCGCGCTGTCCCTGATTGTCTCACTGACGCCTGGTTTCCTCGGACCAGTGGTGCGAATTAGCTGGAAGAGCTTCCGGTAATTGCCTACTGCTCCTGCCTCCTCCATTTCTTGAGCCCGACTGGTCCACCAGGCTTCCTTGTCAGCACGTGGGCTCCGCTTTAGTTCGCGCCTAATAGCCCGTCTGGTCACATTGTGTTCAGAACCAGCCGGGAGGTGTCTTCTAGCTTCCAACAGGTTCACGGACCTCTCGGATATCCAGTGACTGGTGCGGTGACGGTTGATGGTGCCACAAACAGATGCTCCTGCGTTGTGCATAGCGGCTGAGATCCTATTCCACTGAAGTTCAGTGTCATTGGGACAAGACAGTGAGAGTTCGCTATGCAGTGCTTCTTGGTAGGCTTGCCTGACGGAGGGCTGGGACAATTTCTCCGTTGCCAATCGGGGGAGGCGCTTTGTACGCCTTCCGGTAAAGTTCATGGAGAAACGACAGCGCACCAAGGCATGGTCAGAGTCGACACAGGTACTCCAGTACGAGCAGCAATCCAGAATGGAACTGCTCTACCTGTAACTTACGGCTATGTGGTCAATTTGGGTCCATCGCTGGCCAGCTACAGGTGGACGCCAAGTTGCACTTCGGCGCCCACTGTCTAAAAGCAGTGCTACTAAGAAACAACTGGTGCTCCGCACACAGTTGCAGCAGACGCTCGCCGTTGTCAGTCCGTTCGGAGTTAAGTCCATACTTACCACCCAGCTGAGCTTCTGAAGAGCTCAGACGCCCTACTTGTGCGTTCATATCCCCTGCAAGTACTATGCTATCTGAACTAGTAGCACTGCGTAGCAGCGTGTTCAGTTCGTGGTAGAAAGTGTCCTTGACTGCATTAGAACTGCAGTCGGTGGGAGCATAAGCAGAAATCACAAACAAACAGCGTTTTATTTTACTTCGCGAATTCACCTTAGCTGAAGTCGTCAAACAGGCTGCACATAAACGGCTGTTCACCGGAATCCAATCAACCAACGATGACTCAGCCTTGGAGCTGAGAATGATGCCTACACCAGCTTGACCCGTGAGTGCCGCATCGGCGTCTCCGGATGCGTGCAACCAATAACGAGAGGATAAGCCGGGTGCAGTTAACTCAATAACCCCGTTAGAGTCATTGCTCCTAACTTCGGACACACAACACACATCAACACCCAGTGTGTCTAAGGTGCGTGCGAGTGCAACCTGCTGACCTGTTTGTCTTAGAATGCGGACGTTGAATGTCGCCATGGAAACGGGACAGCGTGGCCTTATAAGGGACTTTCGCCTATAGGCGTCCAATAGATGCTGTGGGATGGTGGCTGCAAATGGTACTACTCCAGTAGCACTTCGGTTGCTGTCAATTAAGCTGGGAATTATAGAAGGAAGGTTAGTAATGGGGGCCGGGATGGGAGTTAGAGAAAAAGGTAGAAAAGGAAGAAGGGATGCGCCAGCAGTAGCATGCTTTCGCTTATCCGCCCTGCTGTATGCAGCAGATAAGGTGACTCTTGATAATCTGCGCGACGGCCGATGCAGAATTAAGTTTATGTTTGAAGAAAATGTCATGGTTGTATGTGGGCTGGGATACTGCCACGGCGCCCAGACCTAGACAGGAGAACGATTAGGGTCCTCATCCAAAGCCTTTGGCTCAAAAGCCTGTCCGCAAGGCAGCGGGGTGGCAGTGATTTAGTTTTACAGAAACGGACGCCATCCCATTTCAAACCCCCAACCTGGAGGACCAGGAGACTGAGTTTGTCTGACCTCTCACCATTGACCAACCTGGTAGGAGTAGCTCTCAAGATGCTCGGAGACATCACCCAGTATAGCTCAATGGGTCAATGAGGTAGGCACCACGTTAAGGTCCAGTCTCGTTGCGACGGGCTCATGTGCATGCCCTCTACCGTTTCAGTGCCGCCACCGGGGGTTAACGCGCGTGTGCTCTGGGTTCACAGGCATGCAGCTAGCAAGCGTATACAGATCCAAGAGCCCAGTAGCACGACATGGGTACGTGTACGTAAGCACCACGACGTAAGCGCATCGATTAACTTATTGGTAGATGCGGCCGGGCCCCGCAACGATCATTTGGATGCAAGTTAGATGGTCTACGATTATGATGCGTGGTTAGAAACTTCGGCAGCTGCTCTTTATTGTTATTAGCAGAGTAACACGCACCGGGACTCGGCCCAAGTTGCGCCATTATCACGCATCACGTAACAAGAGGGCGAATACTATGATAACCTTGAGGCAAACCCGTCAGCGAAGCTGCGAGCATAGGATTTGTTAGCAGTTAAAAGGCGTATCACTTTGTGTTAAAATGACTTTGGGCCGAATCCCGATGTGATTTCTCGCACCTACGGAAGGCGGCACCACAACGAACTCCACTATACTGCCGATGGACATGATTGTACTACGGATCAACATGATTGAATACTAGGTTAAGTTGGCTGTGATCTGGTGTGCATCAGTTGCCGCCCAAGCACTTCGAAGCAAGTTGCGATGACAGTCGTACAAAGAAAGCAGTCAACCGCAGCCTCTTTATAACGTTAGTTTTAAAACAGAAGATTGTGAATAAGATATTATCGAATGCACCATACTTCTGCATTTGGACCTGGCGTAAGTGTCCTTCCTATGAAAGCCATTTAACCGACTAAAGGAGAATGTTAATTGTACGAAACGTAGTCACCAGACAGTGAACCGACACTACAACAGTTTACTATGCAGTAATGCGGAACATTTTATAACTCACGAATCTCGTACGTCAGTAATAACTGACAGGCGCTCACCTGTAGCCGCGGCGACGTACATCATCCGTTGGTGCGGTCCGCGCAGCGGTTTCAGAAACTGCTGTGGGACACATGAATAAAAGTTTTTCGGCAAGCAGCAAGTCGGGCAAATGGCACTCATTTAAATGTCTATCATATGCGGTAGCCAATGCAATGGGTGCCTGGTGGGATTGAATATGGGAACATTCCAAGTCCATTTCGCAAAGTGCACAGTGGCTGAAATCCCTCCCAGCTCCATGACAAGCGACCAGATGGAGTTGCAATCTTGACGGCGTATCAAACACGCGACCGTGGCAAAGAAGACAGACAAACGGGCTCCCGTACACGTCCATATGTTGAAGTTCCGTCGTCAGTGACTGGCTCATCTGAAACAGAATGCGAACTGTGGCTAACCTCTGGGTGTTGTATCTAGCTGAATGCATTTTAAGCACATCTGACAGCTGCTACAAGGTCCCTTTTCAAGTTCCTGCACCAAACCACGCTTATTAAGTCTGAATATGAATTAAACTAGTTTGGTTAGTTGTTTTCTAATAGAAGAGCAGGTTTCAAACTTAGAGCAAGGGCTAATCTACTTGTAACAAACTTATCTCTCCATATTTACGCTCACAAAGCGGTAAGACAGAATATAGATGGTTACCATGGAGCGAAACTTAACTAAAGAAGATAAGATTATGCAATTCAACCGCCAAATTGCGAGACACAAGTTGTGCATGCAGAATCTATGTGATGGCACCGACACCCCACATAGAAAACAAACAGTATAACTTGATTGGTCATTCATGACTAATAACTTACTGTGCGCGTGAAGCAAAGAAACTGCGACTGGCCTCCCATCGTAGACGCATGTTAATGACTGCATTAGTAGGCAGGTGCAGTTTTACGGTTAGTCAACCTAGCATATGTGACCTGTTGATCAGGTACGAATTATTTGATGAAGAGGAAATGCGAATGAGCCGTATGCAGTGCAACATTTGTTAAAAACTAACAGCAGATAGACGAGAGTTCTGGTCACACCAAATGAACCATCCAAAGAAGTGGTAATGGGATGGTTTGTAATGTAACTGCAACAAACCCCAAGGTATCGACGAAACCCTTGGGTCGATAGACTTGTTGATTAGTCGGTACAGGTCCACTCAACCCAGGAACATGGGTTGGTTGGTGAATACGCCCATTTTTACAGTTGCATTAATAGTGACGAGAGTGCGGGTGGTGTACTTAGTTCACCATAAGTCACAGCAAATAAAGCTTTGTACACCCGGGTGAAAATATTTGCAGTAATATGGTACTGGCCTGTTGCATTCGCTATAGCAACTTAGCCGAAAGGAAGATTTCCTCAGTTGTGGACGTCGTGAATATGGAACCAAGGTCGGTGCTCTCTCCTTGTAACGCAGTGGGCATTGGTTCTTTCCATCAGATTTTAACTATCGCTTCCTAAACAGCGTTGTCCCTACGGAGTGACAACGATGGTCTCATAGCAAGGACGTACGGGGGGGGGCAGTAGGTGGTGATAATCATCACAGTTTGTTGGACGAACAACGAATACAGTTAAGCTGGTTAGAACATGCCCATGATCTCAACAGTGCACTTGGTGCTGGAACTACTAATAACCCTACCGCACAATCGTGGTTTCAGCAATTTCATATAGGATACTAGAGGCTTGAATATGAAGATTGTTTGGACGGCCATTGGAAGTGACGAACAAACAATTAAGTGCCTTCGTTAGAGCAGTTCAGCGTAAAACTATTCTAGATCATACTGGTGGATCAGCAATATCGTGTGTGACCAACCTAAAAAATTTACCGACGACTGGAATGTCGAAAACGCTTGATAAGTTGGTGCCATACGAATTGCATGCAGAGCGAAGAAGTCGTCGTTTTGAGGTGTCCTCTGCCCTTCTTCAGCGCAATAAAAACGACGCGTTTCTCGACAGGGTTGTGAGTTGCTACGAAAAGTAGATCCTTTACGACAATCGACGACCAATCCCTCAATGGCTGGACCACGATTAAGCTGCACAACACTCCTCAAAGCCAAAGTTGCATACAAAATGATTATGGTGACTGGTCGTCTGCAGGTGGTTTGATCCATCAAAGCTTTCAGAATCCAAGCAAACCATTACAGTGGAGAAGTGTCGTCAACAAATTGTCGAAATGCACCGAGAACTTCTACCTAGGTGCCTGGCACTGGTAACATATAGCGACCAATTCTTCTCCATGACAACGCTCGGTCGCACGCCACACAAACAACCCTGCGGAAGCCGCACGAGATGAGCTACGAAACTTTGCCTCACCCACCATATTCCCCTAACCACCAGCTTACTGAGTAACACCTTTTCAAGCACCTGGATAACCTACTACGAGAGGCAAGATTTAAGAACCATGGCGATGCTGAAACCGCCTTCTACCATTTCATCGCCACCAGAACTGTGGAATTTTATTCATCCGGAATAAATAAACTTGGTTCCCGTTGGCATAAGTGTGTAAATTCAAACGGATTGTATTTCGAGTAGAACTATTACTTCTGAGCCAAGATATATGCATTTAAGGTTAAAATGCGCGATAACTTTAGTACCAACTTTATATATATATATATATATATATATATATATATATATCCGTTGGGTTTCGTTACTGTCTTGTAGATTCATACTGCAGTTACTGAATAATGGATACAATGTCCTCCAACTGCTTGGATTGTTATAAAGCTGTCACTTGTCGGTCGAAGGCTTTTCAATGCTCCAGCTGCGAAGGGTGGCTGCAAATTGCATGTTGTAACATTGGTCCACATCAGTTCGACCGACTGCAGTGGACTACTTCCTCAAACTTAATCTTTACTTGTGGCCCACGTCGGGATGGACTGAGTGTCAGGCGCGTTTCGAATGGTCTACCTCTAATCAGTCCATGTCCATCACGGCTGCATTCCGTGCAACAGAAAAATGATGCCCCACTCTCCCCCGACGACAAGTCTATCCTGGTCAGTCGGACTCCAACAAAGGAGGCAAACACGGACACTGCACCGCTTAATGGACTGTCTGCACTCACCCCGCGTTGCTCTTCTGCTCAGACCGAGGCAAACATCGCTACTGCCTTGACATCCCCATGCTTGTCATTATCTGCCTCTGGCCCGCTTACCCCCACTGGTAAGCAAGGCCGGACGCAATACTTCTTACTTTCTGCGATGCCGGCGGCTGTTACCACTGTGAAGCCTCACCTATCAAGGCGTATGCTTCCGTAGCGAATGCATGTGCGCCACTGTCTTCGCCAGTACGAGTGGCTGAAAATAAGTGCAAGACAAGTGTCACGGAGAAATTCAAACCATCGTCATCTCAATCGCAGTTGAAGCCGGTTTTGGATAGAGTCGGTCAGCTGGAAAAATGCTTAAGGGTGGTCCACTTCCCCACAAGCCGCATCTCCCGGACAACAGGAAATCACCCTCTGATGAACGTTGCTTACGAATCACTGATGCTCCAGAATCGTCCAAAGCCACGCATGAAAGGATTATGGATGATCATGAGTTTCTAAAACGGATGGTTTCCTTACTGCCCGATGTAGCTGAGCTAAGAATCAACATCGTCACCGCTTTCCGCCTTGGCAGGAAACAGGCAGACTCCTCTAAGGTCCATCCCTTGAAGATTGTATGTCAAAGCGATGATGAAGTCCGTCGCATTCTCCGACGAGCTCCACGTCTTAAAGGTGAACATCTTTTCACTCTGCATGACCTCACTCCGGAGGATCAGGCAAAAATGAAGTAAGCGGTTGATGAACTCAGATTTCCTCGTGATAGCGGTGTGAATAACCTACATATCGTGGATTTTTGCGTATTTTCGAAAAAGGCCAAGAACTCGCTGGAGACCACTCCTTATCATCCCCGGGCGTTAGAGTTGAAGAATGGACTGCGCGTGTTCTTCTCATGTGCGCAGTATCAGAAACGAACTAGACAAAGTTCAGCTTCTTGCCTCCGTGAACCGGCCGAATCTTATGGCTTTCATAGACCTGGTTGTTCTCGAATATCCTAAACTCAGAGGATCAGATCCCTGGTTACCACTTTTGCCGGGTGGACCGCCATGAAGGAAGACCTGGGGACAGTGTGATACTCTACTGGAAGACGGAATTCTAGGCTCATCAGGCTGAAGCTACCTGTGGCAGCGATAGCGACTGAAACTCTCTGGTGCCGTGTTCATGACGGATGCAGATCTCTCATTGTCGGTGCTGTCTACAGGGCCTCATTGGGTTCCGGAGCTTGTCTGCTGGCCGCTATCAAAATGCATGGTGGGGTAAGGACTGCTTATTACTGGGGGACTTCAATGCTCTACGAATCGACTAGAACTTACTGGATTGCGTATGCTTTTCAAACACTTTTGTTTTCGTTCGTTTAAAGCCGGTTCTCGAATGTAATTTTTCCCAACATGTCACAATGCCTATTCGTATAATTGCAGGACAAACACCCCATATTCTTGACCTTGTACTCTCCCTGGCACAATCAGATGTCACCGACAGCCTTTCTTCAACCCATTGGTAAAATTGATCATGATGTTGTTTCATTACTCTGAACTCGACGCATTACTCTCCACAACCAAGGATGCCGCAGAAATGTCTGGAGTGCTAATCCCCAACGGCTACAAATGGCCGCCAATGCTGTGAACTGGAGTGTACCCTAACCCCTGGCCCTGGACCAAGTGTGGAGTCACTAGCACTCCAGAATGATTTCGCTCGTTGAGCAGGTCGTTCTTGTCCACATTTTACCTGAGGTCTTCTATGGATTGAACGAGTGCTGAGGGCCTAGTGAACAAAAGCCGGAAATTGTGGAACCAATACAAGCTCACGCACCTCGGAAGTGAACTTACTACTGGTTGGTTCGGTGGAGCTGTACGCCACCGTGTGCGTCCCCAGGTTGCGGATCGGGGAGCGCCTTCCTTGTGAAGATAACTGTGAATAAATCTCGGCTGTTCTCAGGCGAGATGAATAAGCAACCACAGACAATCAGCGGCAGTATCCTAGAGCTTGGGGGGTTCTGGCCTGGTCACCTGGTTCTTCATTAAATACCACAAGGGATCGCAAGACGCTGTGTCAGAGCCAGTGTGACCGGCCATAGGGTCACTGATAACTTACTTCTGGTCACAGAAAGGAGTACTTAACGGAGGGCGGATGAACGACCCCGATGCCCACCGGCTTCCATGAAGGCGTGTGAGTCACCCGGATATCAACGGCCTTCATGCTTCGCGGCGAGCTCGGTAGTACTTGCTATTTCACTGGGGCTCTTTGGGCTCTCTGAGTAGTTTGCCTCTACTCGAAAGCCGTTCATCTAGAGAGCGGGCTCCCAACCGTCGCGGTATATGTCAATCGCCCCGCAACCTTGCGTCTTAGGTCTT